TCTGAAAAATCATGCTTTTGGCATTTATTTGACCCCAAATTTTGCATACACAATCTCTTCATCTTAATAATCAATCTCAAGAAAAATAAATTTCAATTTACACCCTAAATATGGTCAAAATAAATTCCCTCAAACAATAAATCTAGACCATCCATATGATGAATTTCAAAATCTAGACATTTACAAATTCAAAATTCATTTTTTTTCTTTTTTATTATTGTTAATCTAATTATAAGAAAACTATCTAAAACATGTAGAAAGGAAAATAATCTTTCTAAGACCTAGATCTAATATTCCCATTAAAATAAACGGCTTATATTAATTAGGGTAAAAAGACACTTTCTAAGGTATGCTTCCAAATTTTGCTTTATTGTAATGGACCCGATTTCTATACGCCAAGCCCATATATGTAGAAATACGGGCCCATTAGTAAATCTATTTTTTTGATGGATTTTTTGATTTAATTTTTAAAGACATGTAATTTCTAACATGAAGATCATGAATATAAAATAATAAGTAAATTTTAAAAATTAGAAATAATAATTCTAGTAAGAAAACATTTGGACCGTTAGTTTCCATTGTATTTAGATGGAACACCTACTTGCATCCATCTTAAAGATGGATGCTTTACACTTTTTGACGTGTATATGTAGTCATGCAGTTCAACCCGCATAAGACAATTTTCCTTATGTTATTATTCATTAGAACTAAAAGCATGCACATGCTATGAAGATGTTGAGATGTATAAGTGGCAAAACAAGAATGGATAGAATTAAAAATGAATACATTTGATAGTATTTAGATGTGGCACTAACAGGCAATAAGATGAGAAAAAGTAGACTTCAGTGGGATGGCCACATACCATGCAAACCGAGTACAACACCTGTTAGAAAATGCGCGTTAGTTCAAATGGAAGGCTAAAAAAAAAGCAAAAAAAATGCCCAAAAAGACATAGTTGGAAGTGGTGAAAAAATGTGGACTTATAACCTCAATGAAAATATGACCCTTGATAAAGCAAAATGACAAACCAAGATTTGTGTAACCAACCTCAAATAGTTTGAAAAAGATTACGATGATGATGAATAAAGAACAATTTCTGACGTGAGAATTTCCACCCCAAATTTTGGATCCAAACAACATAAATGGGTGCAATCTCCCTAGAAAACTATTTGACCGTAATCTTTTTTCAAGGATCCAAGTGACACTATTCTCCAAAAGAATGAACATTATGACAACACTTGGTTCTCAAACAGTATGCTAACTATTGATATCATTCCCGCCTTGGATTCCGCCCCCCTTGGCACACATCTCAAACGTCTATTTGTGACCCGCTAACGCAACGTTTGAAACTCAAAATACTTCATACTACAGAAAATGCCCATCGAATGCAAAGATCACTGTTCTTGCAAATTCCAAGGTAAAATGTATCAGACTTTGAGTGCGGATGACGGTACCCCAAAATGATTTCACATAGTTGTGACCTTTATGTATAAAAGGTAAATGGCTTCATTGTATTTTTTTTTTCGAGAAATAAAAAAAAAAAAAGTTAAGAACAGAACAAATGTGCTCCGCCAAGTGCTACTCACAAAGACAATGATGCCCATGTCATATATGTATACCAATGATGAAATGAGTTAGAACAACTAGAATTGAAATAGTTGTTATTGCAAACCCTGAATTCATCAATTGCTTCAAAATTTAGGGAACAATTCAATAAATGTCATAAGCAATCATGAGTAGATGCATGATTTCACCTGTAATACAGAATATAAATCTCTGTACTAAGTATTTTATGTTGGCAAGTGAGTTTTTGTACGCACGTGCTGTTCAACTTTATTCCATTTCCATGCGTTCGCCAATTATTCCACAAGAATTTGAGAGAGAGACTGTATCTAGACGCACCGACCAAACCTGCTTCAGTATACTCCAGCCTGCTACATACATGGTCCAAAATTGGCTATCCTTGTCTCTTTAACAAAGCTTGTGTCAGGAAGCCATAAGCCAATTGTAAAGATTCAATTTCTTAACAAGAATAAAGAGCAAAGTATTGACACAAACACAAGTATATGTATGCGTGAGTGTGCATGCATGTGTGTGTGTGAGAGAGAGAGAGAGAGTTAGATTTACCATATACTATACGAAGAATAGTACTATCGCAAGTCAAGCCCTTCATCGAGGCCAGCAGAATTGATCATCACATTCGCGTCGATCTGCTTGTCGAATTTCTTCTTTCTTCTCGATTCAAACTCTTGAAACCCTTCCATCTGCAAGAATACAAGGAATTTCAATGCCAAGCCATAAAAACCATCTATAGATATAGGTAAACAACATGGAGGGAAAAACAAAATGCACAAATTACCCAAGAAAAATCAAGGAAATTTAAGAACTAGTTTGCATATTCAAAAAGCAAATGGATCTTACTTGCTGGAATTGGTTCATGGAAATAGGATTATCATGAAGAGAAATACTCTGAAGGGACTTGCAGTCCTTCAATAAAGCTGGAGGAATCTGGTGAAACCAATAAGCCAAATAGGTTTGGAGGCATGAAGCATCTCACTCGTAAGAATACTAATCAAGGTAGTCAACAAGAAATATTTATCAAGGACTTGCTACCTTTCGATTACTACATGGTAATCATTTTCTTCTTTTTTTCTGATCATTTACTACATGGTAATCATTAATACCTATCAAAATATGAAAGCTACAGCTCCTACCAATAAGCAGTGACTACTGAGGGCCAAGAATGAAAAAAATTGACAAAAATACCAAGAATAATAATAGCATAAAATATTTCAATAATGCAGATCTCATGATAAAAAACCAAAACGGGAAGTTCATAATTATGACAGATGACAATAACAGGAGTAGAAATCGTCTCCAACCTATGGTACATCGTCAACAAAAGCAACCCATGGTAGACCACTACACGGTGTTCTAGACTCTTTCAACTGCTCCGTCAAGAAGAGTGCGCCAAATTTTATGTCCCTCATGTCAGCAAAAATACATTTAAAAAATAAAAAATTATCAGTCAATATTCGTGCATAAGCATATAAATTCGCCGTTAGAGGGCAGTCAAAAATCAAATTGACACTAACAGTTCCATCTCTAGACATCTTTTTTGCCCCTCCCAATTTTTAGAACACTTCAAGTTCTTCAATGTTTTACATATTTCTAAAAATTTGCTGGGAAAGAAGATGGAACATTGTAACTGTTTAGTGGGCTTTATTTTGAACCACATTATAAACCATTTTTTGGGTGTTCTTTAAGTACTAGAATCAGATGTGATGTTTGCAAATGTGGCAGATTGCTGGTCTTCTATGGGTCCTTATGAAATTCCTGTTCAACAACAAGTAAATTGTGAGATTAGTTTCGCCCACTAGAGGTAACCATGAGATGGACAGGTCCAAGTCCACATGGCTAGTGTGCATCATTATCAACTTCTTTTTCACCAGAAGATAAGCAGGACCCTGTCAGTTTCAGAAAACCTTAAGGTTCCTCCCATGGGAGAATCCTTACAATCCATTGTGTTATTTGTGTATCATATTATCATTACAATAAAGTAGTTTCGCACCTATTTATAGCTATGATACTTTTTAACTTATATTATGAGGCACATCATATGGACATATGGCCCCTAGTACTAGAAACTGTTGTCTTGAGTTATTGAAAAATAAAATACTCCAAAGTGTATGAGATTCATTTGAAGAAGACTTACTGACTTGACTAGGCTGCAGACCAATTCAAGTTTTTAATCACGTTCTGAGCCCTAGAGACTGAAGTTTTTGGTTTATAGTGTGTTTTCTCAATAAGTCCCACAGTCCCTAATGGGTAAGGGTGACTTTTTGAATGTCACCTAATGACTTCAGATCAGTGTTCGCAAAATCAAACCGGAACGGTTAACCGAACAAGGGCCTGGAAGCGGTTTAACCGACCTAACCGATAAACCGACCGATTCAACCGCTCTTACCGGGCAAGTCCCCGGCAGTCAAAAAAGTGTTGAAAAAAAATACAAAAAAAAAATCTACTAAACTATGAAAAGCTTATAAAGAATGATTAAAACAAAATACATTCAAATGAAGTTGAAAATTAATGAAAAAAAATGGATTTTAACCCATTTTATATTTTCTAATGGCTATTTTTAAATTTTTTTGAAAAAGATGGGAAAATATAAAAGTGAGTATTAATGACCAAAACAATTTTTAATATTTACCATAGTGTAAAGAATATTTAAAAATGCATTACGAATCAAATTCCTTATTTTTGAGAATTTATATGCATTTTTTTTTTTTTTTTTTTAAAATACCGGTTGATCACCCTAATCGCCCAACACCGGAACTGGCAGGCGATTTTGCAAACAATGCTCCAGATACAATGATACCATGAAGGAGATTTGTTATATGATGAATTCTGAATGTTTTGAGCAGCACCAACAAAGTTTCCAATTCCTCGAAAGGGAGGGGGTTCGCAAAAGTGAGCATCTCATGACTCCCTGCTTACATGAGACATACCTTGCTCAAATCTCTCGTACAACAACTAGCCAAATAAAGATCTCTTGTACACCACCATAAATTACGTGATCTATGTTTTATTTTTAAGCTAATTATGAAAATAAATATAAGGAACCGTGCATACATAAATGTAAGCAACCTTTCAAATCTGATGGACCTAACCAGATTGAATAGACGCCTTCACCAGCCCAGCCTCCAGCTTGGTTTTTGAAAAATAGCATGAATGGAAACTTATCATATCACACCACAATTCGCATGCTGCCATTCTTGAGCCACAGACAGAAGATGCAAAGCAGGAAGATTCAAAGCAGCAGGACTACTCTAGACTTCTAGCTTTTCTAATGCAGTAACCTTATTACTCAATGAATTTTTCACTCGTCAAAATAAATAAATAAATTACATGGTCAGAAAGTCCCCAAGACCAACTAGTACATGTGACTGGGAAGATATAACATGCCAATGACATTATCCAACTGAAGCCGTGAAAACATGGACCTAAATAAACAATTAGAAAGCAGTTCACTAAATGACCTTGGGGATGTTTTCACAATTACCAAGCCCATTCAGCAGTTTGTAGAGTGCCAATATCCTAGTTCGCCTATCAATATCAGGGTTGAACGTATAGCGATGAAAGGTAGTTTTCTTAAAGTGATATCTAAGCAAGGGATGCAAAATCCTTTTCCTTCTTCGCTACACCAAGGGATAAAAATAAAACATAAAAAATAAAAAAGAGCAAAAAACATGTAATTTATGGAATAATAAAATGACAGCAAAAATATAACAAATGCTCAATGATGGCCAGAAAATTTGACTCTTTTTTTTCGTGAAACATTTTAAGAGCTCAAGAATGTGAATCATCTGTATGCATTAAAGGACCATTTCTTAAGGAAAATTTAATAAATGTATATGCATTCATTAGAAAATCTCAAAAGTTTATACCTGGTTCACATTGTTATGGTTCAAGGAAAGAGACTTTAAGTGAATGAGGCTGCAGATTGATAGAGGGAGAGCATCAATGGAGTTACCTGGTACCATCATACAGGTCAAAAATGAGGAAGATAGGACAAAGAAAATACACAAACCATTATAAAAAATGAGTCATTGGATAGTTTTATAACATCAATTTGGTAGATTTATGCTCATTTGCCAATGGTCTTAAAGCCACTCTTACCTTATCAGTGTAGAACCTGATCGTAAAAAGTACAATGGGAAAGATATATCTCAGGTCCTCTTTTGTTTCATATGGTAAAAGTTTCTTTAGAAGTAGCATTTTCACAACCCACTCAACTGCAAAAAGGAGCTCGCAAGGTAGGGCATTGGCGACCAACACAATCTTAACGAACTGGTAAAAATATTTCGTATTAAGCTCATTACTAAAAGCAATCTTATTTTTAAATATGGCTTACTTACATACTTCCATCAAACAAAAGAAAAAGTTTATCCTGGCTACCCCTACTACACAACTACCATATATTCTACAAATTCATACTGCAAACAAACGGATGCTAGTTTTTCTTTTAATCAGAGTCCGCCGACTCTGCCCGAGTCACTCGGACTAGGCTGGCTGCTGACTTCGGAATACCTCCTTTTGCAAAAAACACACCTACTTGAGCCCAAGTTTTGTTAACAGACTCATTTATGTAAAAACCTAATCACTACATACATCAGATTTGAGAAAAACCATCGAATTTGACAAATTTGAGAGATCGAAAAATTAACCTCGTTTTTGCCTGATTTAAAAAAGTTGTGATTTTTTTCGCAAGTTGGACGATCTTCGATGAAATATGTCCTCCAACCCTATTGTTGGGTGCTTCATCCAATCGTAGGCTTGTTTTCACAAGAAAACACACACACACACTCACACACAAAAAAAAAAAAGGATTTGGGAGATTTTAGTTTCAGATTTACAATTTATCCGAAATTTTCAAAAGCCCGGATCAACTAGATCCAAACTCAAAAGCCAAGTTTGGTTTGGGGTTGTCAGAGGAAGATTTGACAAGGATGGCAGGCATCAATCCATACCAAGCATGAAGTTGTTGGATGGCCTCAAAATTTTGGGTAAATTTCACTTTTTTAAATTTAAATTCATATAATTGATCTTTCTTGGGTAAATTTTTCATTTTCTCACTGTAAATTCATATAATCCATCTTGTATGCGGTTTTTATGCTTTTCTATTTATTTTTTTTTCTGATTTTTCCTATATATCACTCTTTCCCCTCTCTCCCTGAGTGATAGGTGGGATTTGGCGATGCACCTGCATAGATGACCTTGCGCATGGGCAGGGGTAAAAATGTGATTTTCCCCCAGAAAGCAGCAGAAACCCCCCAAAAAACCCTTCGCACCATATTCCCATGGTTCTAAGGGGATTAAAACTCACAAACAAAGAAATCAATTTTTTTTGTGTGTTTCAAAATTTTCCAAAAAAATGTTGGGGGTTCTTTCTCAAATCTTTGGCCAATGATATCGATGATGACAACTCTTCAGCCTCAGCTTTGGATATCGGAGATAGACGTGGTGGATCATCACCTGACTTATCTGATTAAGAGTCGAGAATTGAGAGTTGAGACATTGACTCATTGGGCCTGAGTGTATTTTATTACTTTTTCATTATACATCTTATGAACTTTTGGTCTTTGGAGTTTGAAAGCTATGTATGCAGAAACCTTGCGCTTGGGCAAGGGCAAAATGTGATTCCCTCGCCCCCAAAATAAGCAGCGGAAAGGGTATGAGTGTGTGTGTATAACCCCCCCAAAAACCCTTAGCACCATTCT